ATTAAAAAATACCCTTATTAGTAAGCAAAGAAATAGAAAGTAAAATAAAATTCTATTACTAGCCTAAAGGTTCTTAACTACTGACATTTTGAGTCATTTAATTGTTTGGTGTGTGCTGTCCTATGTATTACAGGAAGTTTAGTGGTATTCCTAGCTTCTTGCCCACTATAATCCAGTAGCATCCATCCCAGCCAATGTATGATAATAAAAAATTTATACAATACTGTTCACTAAAGGGAATAATATCCTACAGCTGAAACACACTGTTCTTTTCTGGTCAAACCACATTGGCAAATGTGTTTGCTTGTGCTGATAAGCATTAAAGTAGGCAATCTCATAAACTTTGTTAGCAGGAATGAAAAATAGAGCATATAATTCTTCCCCCTCACCAATGGTAGCATAGTGAATATACTGTTCAAAATTAATTTCCTTGCCATCGCCTTTTACATGGACCACATGGCTGGGTGAGAACAGGAAACACAGTGTGAATAAACAACTCATGATGAGACTGATGAATTTTTCTAAAGTGTTGTTGTTGTTGTTGTTGAGTATCACCAAGTCAAAACCTACCAAAAATTAACCTTCCAGTGGATTTTCAGAGGCACTTAATTGCACAAGAGCAGACCGCCAATCCTTCTCCCATGGAGTAGCCAGTGGATTTGAACCATGTGCGTTTGGGTTTGCAGTGTACAACTAGGTCACCAGAGCTCCCTTTTCTAACCTACTCAGTTTAAATCAAGCAGTTTAGCAGTCACTGACTGGGAACAAATATTTGGGAAGACCATCTGAGACAACGGTCTCATAACAAAAGTTTACAGAATACTCCGGGGCCTCCAGAAGAAAAAGACTTATAATTCAATCACAATATGGGCAAAAGACATGGAAAGACTTTTCAGAGAATGTTTGGATGGCCAACAGACATGAAGAAATGCTCAAAATCACTGGCAATTATAAAGATGCAAATCAAAACCACAATGAGATACCATCTTATCCCAGTAGCAAAGTTTAGCAGGGCATCAAGTAATAAATATTGGAGAGGATGTGGTGAGATAGGAACTCTTTTACATTGTTAGTGGGATTGTAAAATGGTATAACCACTCTGCAAGGCAGTTTTGGCATTTCTCAAAAAGCAGAACATAGAAATTCCATATGACCCAGCTATTCTACTGCCTGGAATATACACTGAGAAAATGACAACTGAGGAACCGAGACTGGTACACCAATGTTCATAGCAGCGCTATTCACCATAGCAAAAACATGGAAACAGCCTAAATGTTCCAAACACAATAGAATGGATTGAGAAATTATGGTACATTCACATGATGGAAAACTACGCACCATTCAGGAGCAATGATTTTGTAAATTAATACCTAACTTGGGAGGGAATGGAGAGCATTATGCTACATAAATTAATTTGTGCCATAAGGACAAATACTATATAAGACCATTATTGTAGAGCTGCAAGGGCAGGAAGAGGGGAACAGAGGGATGAGGATGTGGGAGCTTAATCATAGGGTTGCAAAATTTGATGGGTGGAGGGAAGGGCGGTAAAGGAAAGGGGAAAGATTCAGTGTGAAAAACGATGTACACAAAGTCTGTAAGTAAACCAGCATAAAGTAAAAACGTTATTTTAAAAAAAAGAAAAAGAAAATGGGAATCTCACTACCAGCAGGAAAGAAGCCATAGAGAATGCAATAAGTGTCTTTTGAGGCCAGAAATCCCTGCACCTGTCAGATTAGGGCCTAAACAAGAATAGCAGCTGTCTCAGCAGAGAACCAGAGACCAACTCGAGACTGAGTAACTTGAGATTCTTGCCTCACAGGGCCAAACCCAGGGGTATTTGGCCAATCTTGCTGGAGGACCCAGGAGTGTAGGGGAGTGGGGGTTAATAGATGTCATAATTGGCAAAATTAATCGAGCTTTGTAACACTGACCTAAAACAAAATATCAAAGGGACTGCGAGAGTACTTGAGAAACTGTCCTAAGGAATTGTATCCTACACTCTAACCTGTTAACTTTGCTGATAATCCCATTACAATGGATACAGTGAAATCCATATGGCCATTGCAACAGATTTTGTGCCCTGTAGTATAGCAGCACAACTGGTGATGGAATTAGTAGAAGTAGTGCAGGAACCTGGAGACTATGTCAGAGCTTATGGGAATTAACTTTATATTGAGGATGTTGCTGGTGAGGACTATTCTCTTTTGTGATGTTAAGACTTTAGACTTGGCCATCACCATGCTGCCTCCACTCTCTTTATACTAACATTTTATTGTATTTTAGGTTAAAGTTTGCACAGCAAAGAGGTTTCCCATTCAATGACTCACGTTAATTATTTTGTGACATTGACTGCTGTAGCCACAAGTGTCAGGGTTCTCTCCATTTCCACCCTGTCTTCCCTGTTTCTATTCCTCCAATTTACCTTCTTGAAGTCTCTCTTTTCTTCTGAGAAAATAGTGACTGTTTGGTCTTGTTTTGTGGATTATTCAAAGTAGCATATTTCTCTTTATTTTCTATGCCAATTATTTTGGCCTTGGGCACAGTTTCTGTTCCAAGTTCCTCCAACTCCTCCAATTCTCTGCTATCCCAGTAGGTGTAGTCCTTTTTTTATGAATTTGAGTTCTGTATTACATTTTTCTTTCATTCTAACCAGAATCTGATGTTGTGTCCTTGGTCATAACACCATAAAATCCTTCTGATCTAGAGGAAGCTGTGATAGTCTTTTGGGATAGCACCTCCCTTTGAGTGTTTTGTATCCTTCACCGTGCTTTGCTCCAGATAGGAAGAGATTATTAGTTGTGTTTTAGATGCTTTAAGACCTAGATACTACTCATCAAACCAAGAACTCATCAGAACTGACTCATAGCTGACCCTTCAGAGGATTTTTAGAGGCAATAAATTACATGAGAGGAGATTGTCCATCCTTCTCTCATGAACAAAAAGATTATATAATGACCCACAAATAACTCTATTGTGAAACTTTTGTGGTATAGTGTGTTACGTGTTAGACTACTAAACAAAAGATCAAATTTCTTGATAACAGTGGATTGTGGGTTTTGATATGCTTATATTAGACTCTCACCTCTCTATATCATTCATATCTACCTATATAATCACCCACAGGTTTTAGGCTGTTACTGTTATTGTTGTTGAATTTTATACAGTATAGTCATTACTATAAACTCAAACCTGTTATTGAGTCAGTTGCAACTCACATTAATCCTCACAGTGGAAAGACACTGCCCATCTTTCTTCCATGGAGTTCCTGTTGGATTTGAACTGTGGTAGATGTGAAGCCTTTCTTTTAGCTTTTGGTACTGCTAACAATTTCAGTTCTTGGTATAACCAGTCAGAAAATAAAAATACACATTGCATTAGGAAAGTCTGCTGTCAGAGACCTCACCAGAGTTCTGAAGAGCAAGGATGTCAATCTAGAGACTAAGATGTGCCTGATACAGGCCATAGTCTTTGCAATTATTTGCTATGCGTCAGAGAACTGAACAGTGAGCAATAATGAGAGAAGAATAATTGATATCTTTGAATTGTGGTGCTGGAAAAGATCCTTGAACATACCATAGACTGCTATGAGAACTAACAGGTCTGTCCTGGAGAGGACAAAATTAAGTTACTCCTTGGAGGCAAGGATTTTGAGACTCCATCTCACATATTTTGGACATGTAACCAAGAGGGACCAGTCTTTGGAGAAGGATATAATGCTTGGAAGGGTGGAGGGACAGCGCAAGAGAAGAAGACCCCAGATGAGATGGATTGACACAATAACTGGGGTAATGAGGGTATGTCAGAGAGAGTGAGATTGG